TCATTCGTAAACAAGTAATCTTGTTCTCAGAAAACAATACCAGTTTTACAGAAATAATGATCTGAAAATTCCTTCGAAATAGTCTAACTAGGCAGTATTGTTGTTTCATTCATCTTTCAACCTGTTGTGTATCTTAACATCTAGTCGAGATTGGCGTACTCGTGGTTCTATATTTCTCAATCTTCGTTTACTGGGAATTGATTTTCTGAATCTGTCTAGCACCTACCATTGCTATATTTTTTAGTTATTAATGAACCCAGGTCACTGACATTAAAGCTGTTTTCGACTGTACTCGGCGTATTTTGGTTGGTCGGCTCTCATATGGATCTAGGGGTGACAGTGAGTCGTGATCTTAGGACGACGGCCCATTGCCAATGAGTCTCAGCTAAGGAGTTGAGAACCCTATGGGCTTTAAAACGGACGTTTACTAAGTCAGATACTATCATGTTCACCAAAGTATACACATCCTTAGTGAGAACTAAGCTTGAGAACTGCGTTCAGGCTGCAAGACCCTGTTTAAAGGGTGACTCAGATATTCTAGAAAAACTACAGAGGGCCGCTACTCGTGCAATTCCAGAACTACGGAGTTTGACACACAAAGAGCGGCTTGAAAAGCTGGACCTCTTTACTATGTCCTATCGCAGATTAAAGCGAGATTTAGTTTTGATGTACAGAATACCGAGAAATTATTTTGGACCTATTCTGTTCTCTCTTTTTCTTCCCACTAAATCGGGACATCTCAGAGGACATAGCAGGCGAGTAGAAAAGCCAAGAACAAACAAAATACCCGTGGCATACAGGTTTTCACACCGAGCCATCAATACTTGGAACCTGATGCCCGAAGTAGTGGTGTCCGCACTTTCATTTGACCCTTTTAAGGGAAGACTGGACACACAGAATCATACTAGAAAAGGAATAACATAGGCCGTAGGCCTTCTGTACCTACTACACAAATCTGAAAAATGTTATTTATTGACTTCCTGGCTGAAACAACTATTCAAATCCCTGCAGATAAAAATTTGATTCTTTTTTATCAAGAGCATTTGTATTGGTACTAAGGCGCTGAATTATTTACTTACTTACATACGCCTGTTACTCCCAATGGAGCATAGGCCGAAGACCAGCATTCGCCAACCCACTCTGTCCTGGGCCTTCTTTTCTAGTTCCATCCAATTCTTGTTCATTTTTCTCATGTCTATCTCCATTTCTCGGCGTAATGTGTTCTTTGGTCTTCCTCTTTTCCATTGACCTTCAGGATTCCATGTGAGGGCTTGTCTTGTGACGCAGTTGGGTGCTTTCCTCAATGTGTGTCCTATCCACTTTCAGCGCTTCTTCCTGATTTCTTCCTCCGCTGGGATCTGGTTTTTTCTCTCCCACAGTACGTTGTTGCTAATAGTGTCCGGCCAACAAATCCGAAGTATTTTGCGTAGACAACTGTTAATAAACACCTGTATTTTCTGGATGATGGCTTTCGTAGTTCTCCAAGTTTCCATCCCATACAGTAGAACTGTCTTGACATTTGTATTGAAAATCCTGACCTTGGTGTTGGTTGACAGTTGCTTTGAGTTCCAGATGTTCCTCAGTTGTAAATATGCTGTTCTTGCTTTTCCGATCCGCGCCTTCACATCTGCATCAGATCCACTCTGTTCATCACTGATGCTGCCCAGATATATAAAAGTTGTTACATCTTCCCAATCTTCTTCGTCAAGCGTGATTTGATTGGTGCATGCTGTGTTGTATCGGAGAATCTTGCTTTTCCCTTTGTGTATATTGAGACCTAGTGCTGTTGATGCTACTGCTACACTGGTCGTTTTCTCCTGCATTTGTTGTTGTGTTTGGGATAGAAGGGCCAGATCATCTGCGAAGTCTAGATCGTCCAGCTGCATACTAGATGTCCACTGTATCCCGTGCTTTTCTTCAGATGTTGGCGTCTTCATGATCCAGTCACTCACTAGTAGAAAGAGTGTTATATCTTGAAAAAGCTGATTTTCTCGATATACCGCGTATAACAGAGCACTAGAACACCAAAACCCTTCCAAGTCGCAATAAGAAGACAGAAGACTAACGAAAGGAATATTATACCAAACGGTGTCAATCATAGTACAAAATTGTCAGGTATTTATAGTTTTTAATGAGAACGAAATCATCATTACAGTCTTCCTATCCTCATACAGGGGGTAATTAGCATTATCCAATCGGGAAGCTACATGTTGGAATTCCAGAACATTCTTCCGAAAGGTGACTGGATGGGACGTCTTCGGCTCCTTCTGAGCCTCTTACAGCTTCCTCAAGTTCACCGGTGGTCCGTCGTCACAAAGAGAAAGGTTGAAAGTAAGCAACCTTGCCTGACACTGGTCTTCACTTCGAACGACTTTGTCAACTGTCCTCCATGCACAATTTTGCAGTGTAATCCATCATATGAACTCTGTATGATATTGACTATCTTCTGAGGCACGCCGTAGTGTCGAAGAAGTTTCCATAGTGTTGTTCTGTCCACGCTATCAAATGCCTTTTCGTAGTCAATGAAGTTGATGTAGAGTGATGAATTCCATTCAATTGATTGTTCCACAATGATCCGTAGAGTTGCAATTTGGTCTGTACACGATCTATCCTTACGGAATCCTGCCTGTTGGTCACGAAGTTGGACGTCTACGCAGTCCTTCATCCTGTTTAACAATACCCTGTTGAAGACTTTTCCCGGTATTTAGAGAAGAGTGATGCCCCTGTAGTTATCACAGTTGCTGAGATCGCCTTTCTTCGGTATTTTGATCAGAAGTCCTTCTTTCCAGTCTGTTGGTACTTGTTCCTCATCCCAAATCTTATTGAAGAGAATGTGGAGTATCCTTGCAGTTGCCGCTACGTCTGCTTTTAATGCCTCTGCTGGAATGTTGTGTGGTCCTGCTGCCTTGCCACTCTTGATTTGTCTGATGGTCATGCTGATCTCTTCAATTGTTGGTGAGCCAAAATCGATTGGGCGGTCCGTGGGTGCTGCTTCGATGTTGGGTGGGTTCAGTGGGGCTGGTCAATTCAAGAGTTCCTTGAAGTGTTCTACCCACCTGTTTTGTTGCTTTTCAATGTTGGTGATTACCTCGCCTTCCTTGCTTTTCACTGGTCGTTCTGGTTTGCGGCGATTTCCAGAGAGTTTCTTTGTCGTGTCATACAGTTCTCTCATGTTTCCTTCTTTTTTTAAAATACAATCAGCTGTAAGACGTGCCTCTGGATCATGATCCCAACATTTATTAATTGTACGATAAAAATGAGTAATCAACTATTTAAAAAGAAATTTGAAAAGAGATAAAAAACGAGAAGAGGATAAGCAGAAATAGACTTTAATAAACAAACAGAAAAATATATAATCAGCTATATTATTTTTAGTAGAAAATTAGTTTTAGTGAAGTTATAATTTGTTAAAAGTTGTTTTCAAAACGGAACACTCCATTTTTTTAAACCAATACACTTATATTTTAATATTCATTAACTTAAATTTATTGTAGAAAAAGTTATTTGAAATTTATATTAATTTGGATTTAATAAATTAAGTATTATCTACAAATTTGTATCTAACTGATTACACTTGTAAACCAGTTTGAATTCTGCATTAAATCTTCAGAACATAAATTATCATCACATTAAATATCATCCTGTTTCTTATTTGATGTGATATACATCATACCTATCCACAGTGGAGAGATGGTATAATAGTTAAAACGCTAATTAATAGCTGTCAGATAGAGGATGTCAGTTAGGATCAATAGTCCTGACATTCATAGCGACTTTTGAAATAGCTATGGTGGATTTAATTTTTAACACTAACCAGCTATTACAGCCTGATGAATATCTTCAGTCAGTCAGTCACTAATAAAGTAGAACTTCGTACGTACGTACGTCAGTTCGAGTTGCCACACCACATTAGCACAGAGATGCACTTGTCGATTCAAATCCCGTAGTGGTAGAGGTAATAAGAGTATAAGCAGTAATCGGGAAGATTAGGGTTTGGAGATGTTATTTAAAGAGTATAATCCAGTGAAACAAATTTGGAAAGAGGAAAAAAGGGACATGAAGAATTCAGAATATTAGAATTTGGGAGAACACAAAGAGTGGATACACCTGCACCATTACAAACGATTTTGAGCCATGTCATTCAGGGTCTCTAACCATCGGTTGCTATCATCTCGCGGTCCCCAACCAGGTCAGTCAGTCAGTGAGTCAGTCAGTAACAACGTAGAACTTCGTACGTACGTACATCAGTTCGAGTTGCCACACCACCTTAGCACAGAGATGCAACCAGGTAGTCTACACCTACCAACATGGCTCAGTCCACTTGTCAGTGACTTCATGGATTTGTGCCACGTTTTGGTCTGGCCGACCCTAGCTTTCTTCCAACCTACTCCTACACCATAAAACATCGCACGTCGAGGCAGTCGGTCGTTGGGCATACGTAACACGTGTCCCAGCCATCTCAACTGATGAAGTTTCACTACTTCATCAATTGATTTGCCATCCTTACCTAGTACCCGTTTCCTAACAACGGTGTTACCTACTCGATGGTCCCATGATATACGAGCAATGTTTCGAATATCTTCAAGACGAAGATATAGATGTAGGCGAAAATATTCAAACTGTTGGCCAATTATAATATCACGAAATGTTAGGAGTCACAAAACAACTTATAGATGAATAATATACTATACTATATACTATGTCTAATAATCGCGTTTTCTATTTGGAGATAAGTGACATAGATTGGAATCTCTAAAATACGATAAGCAAATTAAATATTATGACCAAAGTAAAAATTTATTGATAGATTTAATGTAGGATTAACAAGATTATATTACAAGACAATTTTCGAATATTATATGATACAACAGGCTAACCACACTTAGCAGCAAAATATGGACACGCCTATGATTAAATCTAACACTTAAAGTAATTTATTTAAAACTAAACTTCACAAACAAGTGAGCAACGTGGAGAAAAAACTTTAAACCACAAAAACATCAATAACGTACAGTTGAATTAAACCAAGACAGATGGCCAGCTGGACGATATTTTTCCAGACATACAAGCTGTTGTAAAGCAGCTGCAGAATTACACAATGATCCCAGTTCCTTTTCATAGGGTAGCCAGTGGTGCCGCTTTTTCATTTTTCTATGTTCTGGTGCACGATAATCTACATTTACAGGGTTGTGTGGGTCCAGATGATCAAACTCAGGGTGGATACTATTCATCAAACATAAATCTGAACCAATCGATGGGGACGCGTTTTCAGGAGAGTCGTTCAACTTAAAATCAATATTGTGAGTCTCATAATCGCCTTCTGAAGCATTTTCATGGTCGACAGGTAGAAGAGCAGCTGTGAGCAACTCCCATAAGACCAATCCCAAAGAATATATATCGGTACGCAGTAAAGCCCATCCAGTGAAAGATATAGCACCATCAATAATTTCTGGGGCCTGATATCTTAAAGTTCCAGCCTTCGGCATAGACTCTTGCAGCCTTTTCCGACGTCATTGCCAGGTCTTTCACATATTTACGTTTGTCGGTTCTGATGCTCCTCTTCACTTGTTTGTTTACTTCTGTGTATTCAGCTTGTCCCTTGGCTTTTCCTGCTCTTGTTCGACTAGTATTGATTGCTGCCTTCTTGTTCCTCCTTTCTTGAATCTTATCCAGTGAATCAACAGTGATCCATTCCTTGTGATGGTGCTTCTTGTGACCCAGGACCTCATGACATGTTGAAGTGATTGCCTCTTTGATCCCCTTCCAGTTGCTCTCCATAGTAGTTCCCTCTCCATTAAGTAGATCGTGAAAGGCCTGGAACTTGTTGCTGAGGTCTATTTTGAATTCGTTGAGTTTGTTAGTATCCTGAAGAAAGGCCGTATTGAACTTTTGTGATATTGTCTGCACCATTGTCCAGTGCTTCTTGAGATTCAACTTCATCTTGGCGACTAGCAAGTGATGATCTGATGCTATATCAGCTCCTCTCTTGGTTCGCGCGTCTTCCATCGTCCTCCTGAACGTTTTGTTGATGCAGATATGGTTGATTTGGTTCTGTGTAGTGTAATCCGGTGAAGTCCATGTGGTTTTGTGTATGCGTTTAGGTGGGAATATGGTGCCGCCTATGACCAGTTTATTGAAGGCACATAAGTTTGCAAATCTCTCACCATTTTCGTTCCTTTCTCCCAGTCCGTGTCGTCCCATGGTGTCTTCATATCCAGTGTTGTCCGTTCCAACCTTGGCATTGAAATCTTTCATCAGAATGGTCAGGTCCTTTGTTGGGCACTTCTCGATGATTGACTGCATCCTATTGTAGAATTGATCTTTAGCGTCTTCATTGTAGTTGTTGGTAGGCGCATAGCATTGGATGATGTTCATTGAATTGCCCTCTTTCTTTGATTTGAAGGAGGCTTTGATTAACAATAATAATAATAATTTATTCTCAAATAACAGTTTGTTACATGAGGCATGCCAGTTTACAGGCAAGATCAAATTGATACAAATGATACAATATACATTGTATTAAATTGCATCGCTGGGTTGATAATTTATATGACATGAATGTAGATTGTTTTAATCAGTACTGCAGTTGGCGCGCTTCACGAGGGTTGCGTTGCGAATGTGCGACTGATGGTCAAGGATAGGTCCATTGAAGGTATGAACTTCTAGAAATCGCAACCGTATGTCCCTTTGGGATATCCAAGGCTTTAAGGATGGTGCAGGATGAAGTAACCCGTTCCATATCTCAAGGGGGCTGAAAGAGGGAGCAAGTAAAAGAAAACACGAGAGGCAGAGTAGCCAATATTCATGAAGGAATGTTTAAGGTATGATTACTCAGTCTAATTTTCTTTTATTAAGGTATTTGTTAAGAGAGAGCATTTTAATAGGTTAAAGAAAATAAGCTTTAGCAAGGTGTGAGTGGACATACAACTGACAAATGGAGGCGATTCGGAAAAGAGCTGAGAGTATAAGGTTATGTGTGATTACAAAATAAAATATAGTGCTAGAAACAGTATTGTGATATACAACTGGCTATCTTCCTTTTATTATCGAAGCTATTAGAGCCCCTTTCGTTTTTTTATTTGTTTTTTTTCAGGTTTTATAGGGTCTTGAGTAGGCTTCGTATATTAGCGAATTGTCTAGTTTGCTTGTAATAGGATTTCTGAGTAGGAAGTGAAACCAATTCAACGTTCGTAACACGATTTAAAGAGGCATTTTGCGTGATAAATCAGCTTCAATACCATAAGTCCGTGACATCCCACTAAACCATAAGGAGCCGTAATTAAAAAAAAATGTTCTGCCCTACAGACATGGGTGGATTGAAGTTATCTCCCCACCTTCATGTTTGCTGGTCAGTAACGCCACCCTCCCTCCTTTTGTGATGTTAGGCTCTCTTACGTTTGTGGTAAGTATGATTAATGCTTTAATCAAAGCACATAGTTGGAATACACTGTCTCTACTAGGTCCATGTTATAAGCAAATCAGATATTTAAAAATTCTGTTTTATGGGTTAGATGTCCATATAGTATATCACACTACTATGAAAATAACTAATGGTTTAAAGAAGTAAGGATTAATAGTAAATCAAAAGATATGAGAGGGTATAAAATTGTAGAAAAAAAAGAAAAAGATTTTAGGGTGAGAAAAATAAAACATTGAGAAACTCACAAGACTTTGTGGCCAGATTTTGAGCTTTGAATGATCGGCCTTAGTAGATCAGCATCCATAAGATTGGGCTATCTGTCTACTTGCAGTAGAAAAAAAAGCATGACTTTGAGGAAGAATAATGTACATTTAACCTGTAGAGATTTGGGGACTGAAAGCTAGGGTTAGGAGCATGAAGTCATGATTAATAAACAATGAATAATAGGAAAGGACAAGCCATATATTCTGTGATTTGGTTATATTCGTATTAGTAACAGTCGAACTTGTTATAATTTTGTTCTTTCTAGATACTAGGTGGTCCGTAATAAAGTGCCTCATTGGTGGGCGGGAGTTCAAGGAAATGTTGAAGCTCTCTGGAGTCTAGAAATAGGGTTATTAGCTTTTTGAATCTGGTAAACGTATCACAGTTACGGATAGACATTGGCAGCCTGTCCCACAATAAACTGTACCGTACTGTAAAGAACTTACAACGCATTTGTTTTTGGTGTTTTACGGTGTGTATTATTATTATTATTATTATTCACAAACATCTTATGGGTACATAAGTGTTGTGAAGAAACCATTTCGGGTTTCTTCAGAAAATGCAATAATACACAATTTTCAATAATGTTAGCATTATACTTGCCATATTTAAAAAAATAATAATAATAAAAATAAAATAAAAAATTGAGAATAATAATAGTAGAATATTAATAATAATAAATGGGGTCTTTGTAATTGAGAAGAATATTGAATTGAGTTTAAAGAAGGAAATGGAGAAAATAAGGGAATAGAAATAAAGGAGACGTGAAATACGCAAACAGTCTAATAGGGGTGTTTATGAACAGAAAACAAGAATAAACGACTATGTGTGTATCGTTAAATTAGTAAGAAAAAATAATTTATCAATGTAGTAAGATATGACACTAGAATAAATGTTTGTGCAGTTATAATTTAGAGTGATGCTATGAAAGTCACAATTTAGTGAAAAGTATAATAAAATATCACTATGTATGAGTCATATATGCATAGTGAAGATGAAACAAATCTGAGAAGTTAATTAAAGTGTAACACAAGTTATTGTTTTAATTACAAACTTCGTAATATTAAGAATAATATTTATTTAGAAGGGAAAATGAGAGAGAAAAGAAGTGAACACCTAGTGGAGGGGTTTATCCATGATAATGGTAATAATTGTGTAATGAATATCGACTTCAGAAGTAAATCAATTGAGAAAAATGAAATGAATATCCGTTAGTTCACTCAGATGAATACATTTAGATTTATGTAATAGTATACAGAGTGAAACCGGATATTAGTATAAATATTTGTGCAATAATAATTAAGATTGATGCTATGAAAGTCAAAATTGATTTCAAAGGACAATCTGTAGTTAAATATGTTTAGAAGGATAAGAAAATACAAAAAGAATATCTAATGTGTCGGGGAACTAATAATGATATTAATAACGGTAATAATGATAAACACGAACATAATCAGACTTAAGATAAAGAGAAATAAAACAAAATAGACGTGAAAAGATTTAAAGGTTTTATTTTGCTTTTCAAGCAATTAAATGGATGACGGACCTTGTTTGTATAAATCATTATTGAATACATTGATATTCAATAGGTGACATAATCCACTTTCGGAAAGAAAATCGTCAAGGAGACTTTTGAACCGGGTTGTAGTTTTACTGCAACGGAGGTTCACTGGCAGTCTGTTCCACATGGTTGAGTAGCGAATAAGGAAAAAATTCTGACGTAAGTTTGTGTGGGTTCTTGGAATCGCTAGAATGTTCTCCTTATTGCGTAGATTGTGGGATGATATTATAAGGTATGAAGGGGTGGATACCGAAGAGTAGGAAATACCGTTAATAAGACGGTAGATAAAGACAAGATTTAATTTGATACGTCTGATCCAAAGAGGTTCTAAGTTGAGTTGTTGACATCTTTGGTAATAGTCTTTGTTATCGGAATACCCCAGAACAGCTTTGGTGAACTTTCTTTGAACACCTTCAATTCTAATCAGATCATTATGTCTACAATTACTGTAAACTAAAATACCATATTCAAGAATGGGTAAGATACATTTTCTGTATAATAACAATCTCGATTCGATATTATTAAAGTTTATCATTGTCAATCCGATCAGCTTTCTAGCTTTGGAAACTTGAGATATAATGTGTTCAGAAAAGTTCAGACTATTGCTATATCTTAAACCCAGGTCACGAACAGTGTTGAGAGGTTTGAGTATATGTGTGTGTACAGTCAGATTTAACTTAAGGCAGCGACCAATGTGAATAAATCCACTTTTGTCAACATTAAGTGGCATATTCCACGAAACAGTCCATTCGTACAACTTGTTTGTTTCCTCTTGGATTACCGCTGAAATATAGCTTTCTTTCGTAGGAGAAGAGAATGAATATACTACTTTCAGGTCATCAGCAAAAAGGAAAGGCTTACCATACTGAAAGAGGGAACACACGTCATTTATAAAAAGGAGAAAGAGTAATGGACCAACCACACTTCCTTGTATAACCCCACTGGTTACATTCACAGGTTTAGAGTAGCAAGATCCAAAGCGAACGATTTGGCTACGTTCTTCTAAAAAAGATTTGAACCAAGATAAAAGGGGATTCTGTATGCCAAATGAAGAGAGTTTTAAAAGAAGAAGTTTGTGTGAGACACTGTCGAAAGCCCTCCTAAAATCGAAGTAAAGAATTAACACTGACTGACCGACATCTTTTATCTGGGTAATTTGACCAAAAATTCCAGGTGCGATGTGAAATATTAGCGCTTAGTCATGAACCCGTGTTGGGATGGGCTGATCAGACTAGCTGAAA